GTGCTCCTCTGCTGTTCTGTGAAAGTACTTGCTGCTGGTAATGTTTTGATCAGCGTATATCAGGTCATGTGACTGACGATGCTTGTGAATTTGCATGGAGAAGGGTAGGTGAGATGTCTGTTAAGGTCAGTGAAAGTGCTGAATTGAATTGTTTTTTGATCATTTATAGAAATTTGATTGTTGCCATTGTGTACGTTAAATACGTTAGAAGAGGTTTAATTGATTCATATACAGTCCAGAAGCCTGAGATTACATTGAAAAACTGGGATTAAATTTTTTTTTTATTTGTAGATATATATAACATTTTAGGATTTTGAGAAAATTTAAAATATTATGAAAAATAAAGAAAAACACATTGATCATGTCTGTATAGCTTGGGTGCTGCTGTCATTACAGGAAAAAAGGATGATAAACCAAATACTTAGAAATTCTGAAAAAAAATTTTTTAATTCAACTTTTGACTCAGCATTGTTATGCTGATGTTATATCTTTTGTAATACATTTTATACTAAATTAAATGGCTAAACAATGCATTGTCATTAGTGGTCTCAGACTTGTGGACCTCTATTTAGTTTTATTACAACTATCAGATATACAAAATTCAGCTTTGATTAAAGGTGCAGTAAGTGATTTCTGAGAAACACTGTTGATATTTGAAATCAACGCAAAAAACACACCCCTTCCTTCTTTGCTCCGCCCCCAAAAATGCATAAACACGCAATGCAAGAGTGGATGTCTTTTTATCATAGCTAAGCTGAAGCAAAGCAAAATAAAGCTTCGCGAAAAATAAGAAGAAGATGACAAACGAACTACAAGGAAGAACAAAAAAATAACATACAGTGCACAAGATATAAGCAAGAGTTTGTTGAATGAATGAATGAATGAGGCATTTATACACTTACCGGCCACTTTATTAGGTACCCCATGCTAGTAACGGGTTGGACCCTCTTTTGCCTTCAGAACTGCCTCAATTCTTCGTGGCATAGATTCAACAAGGTGCTGGAAGCATTCCTCAGGGAGTTTGGTCCATATTGACATGATGGCATCACACAGTTGCCGCAGATTTGTCGGCTGCACATCCATGATGCGAATCTCCCGTTCCACCACATCCCAAAGATGCTCTATTGGGTTGAGATCTGGTGACTGTGGAGGCCATTTTAGTACAGTGAACTCATTGTCATGTTCAAGAAACCAATTTGAAATGATTAGAGCTTTGTGACATGGTGGAAGTAGCCATCAGAGGATGGGTACATGGTGGCCATAAAGGGATGGACATGGTCAGAAACAATGCTCAGGTAGGCCGTGGCATTTAAACGATGCCCAATTGGCACTAAGGGGCCTAAAGTGTGCCAGGAAAACATCCCCCACACCATTACACCACCACCACCAGCCTGCACAGTGGTAACAAGGCATGATGGTTCCATGTTCTCATTCTGTTTACGCCAAATTCTGACTCTAACATCTGAATGTCTCAACAGAAATCGAGACTCATCAGACCAGGCAACATTTTTCCAGTCTTCAACTGTTCCATTTTGGTGAGCTCTTGCAAATTGTAGCCTCTTTTTCCTATTTGTAGTGGAGATGAGTGGTACCCGGTGGAGTCTTCTGCTGTTGTAGCCCATCCGCCTCAAGGTTGTGCGTGTTGTGGCTTCACAAATGCTTTGCTGCATACCTCGGTTGTAACGAGTGGTTATTTCAGTCACTGTTGCCCTTCTATCAGCTCGAACCAGTCTGGCCATTCTCCTCTGACCTCTGGCATCAACAAGGCATTTCCGCCCACAGAACTGCCGCTCACTGGATGTTTTTTCTTTTTCGGACCATTCTCTGTAAACCCTAGAGATGGTTGTGCGTGAAAATCCCAGTAGATTAGCAGTTTCTGAAATACTCAGACCAGCCCTTCTGGCACCAACAATCATGCCACGTTCAAAGTCACTCAAATCAACTTTCTTCCCCATACTGATGCTCGGTTTGAACTGCAGGAGATTGTCTTGACCATGTCTACATGCCTAAATGCACTGAGTTGCCGCCATGTGATTGGCTGCTTAGAAATTAAGTGTTAACGAGCAGTTGGACAGGTGTACCTAATAAAGTGGCCGGTGAGTGTATAGCGCTTTCATATGTACTACACGAACTTGTTGTTCGTCACCAGCAGCACACCAGCTCCACAAACAACTTTGCCACTCGAAACTCTACTTATAATATAGCTAACATTACAACAACAGCAAATATTGGTTCTGTGAAACAACAAAACCAATGTTACTCAAGTATGGAGCAGAAACAACACAATGTTTTCAGGCCTTCCTGCTTGGGTCTCTCCAGTGCTGGAAAGCTTTTCTAATATTAAGCTCTTGCCAGATCATAGACTTCTTTTTCCAGTAATATTCCTCTGACCTTTTTCCTTTTGTAATGTCACTCAGCCATCTTTCTTTGACTACAGTCTTTCTTCAAATCTCCCTCTTGCTTACTCTCTCTTCTCCCCCATCATGAGTGGACATGCCCCCTACTGCAGATTGGCTACAAGTGTTTTTTGGTGCTCGGTCCGATCCACTTTCTCAAAAATCGTTTACTGCCCATTTAAGACTGATTCTTTTGATTACCTTGAAATATGTTGCCAGATTTTGGTCCTAAAGGGCTGTCCTACCGAGAACAACGGGTTAAGAAAAAGAGAAAAGTGCTTTTTGTAGACCTTTATATGAGATCAGACAACATTTGTTTGTTTATTAGTTTGCCTTCACTGAAAAGTATGCATCTTTTTTTTTTTTTTTTTTTTTTTTTGAATGCTAATATAAAAACTTTTGTCATGGTTTAACCAAAACTTTTAACCAACATTAATTTGCATTTGAAATGTAGCCATTATTTTAAAAAACAAAACTGGGAACAAATACCAAGGAGTTGCACTGTGTATATGTGATAGTTTAGAGATTAGATTGTTACTGTTTAGGTGTTAGAAGACTCGTGAAGGTGTCTGTAATGCAATTATCTAGTATTTTACTTTTAATGGTATGTTTAATGAGGAACCTGTGTGGATGCTGATCTGTCATCTTGTTACTAAATACACTAATTTATAGTTCATAAAAGTTCTTTTGCCATTCGTAAACATTTTAGTATTATAATATTTGATTTATTTATTAGGTAATAGTGTGCTATAATTTCAGGAAACGGTATTAGTTCAATTTAATGGTTTTGCTGAGAGAAAACATGGCAGCTCTAACACTGATTTTAGAGCCTTTGCATATGTAATAAGTTGTGTAAATATATACATGTTTCTTTAGTAGTACTGATCGCTCCTGTGTTAAGAATTGTATTTTGCATTTTGAGTCTGATGAAGAGATTAATTGTGTGATATATATGTTGCAAGTAAGTTTCATAGTGAAGCTTAGAGGATCTACTCTAAAATATGGTGTGATAATGGTATGAATTCATATTTACTGGATGTATGTATAAGTTTATATTCTGAAATGTTGGACTGAATGAGCCCTTACAGTTTTAGGGGCTCATTATTATGTAACTGAACGAGTTTTATACTCTCAATCAAACCTCAACTGAAATGCCTTTCCCTTCATGGTATTCACTCAAGGACTGTATGAGCATATCGTTTTAACGGTATGTTTTAACATAATTTTGAGTTTTCTTAGATTGAAAGCAAGCCGCCTTTGTATTATGCTCATATAGGAGACCCTTTTCTTGGGTATTGTAATTATCACTGCGAGAATTGAGGCTTAGTAGCATTGGAACATTTATGAACAAATTTATTTATTTATTTATACTTTTTCTGGTGTGTACAGTACATTTCATCTGTCAAAAATGACTGAGATACATTTGACAACTCATAATAGGACATGTTTTTTCATAATTCATTTGAATTATTGCTGCATAAATCGCAATTGTGTTATAATAGTAACTCAGTTCAATTTGACAATGCTTATATTTGAATTTCTCATGTTAAATCCTCATGAGCTCAGTAAGTAAGCCTTGCACCATTTGAACTAAGATGGATTAAAAAAAAAAGTCAGAATTTAATTCAATTTTACTGTCCCAATGTTCTGACGTACACTTTGCCATGACTTGTGCTCAAAAACAACCATTTCTTTGTATGCCTTTTATTTATTTTACTTATTTTATTTATTATCATTTTATCTACACATTAATTTAATAAATAATGTTTGAATGTTTTGGTTGGAAAATCTTGTTGAACAGAAATGAATTGAAAATGCCAAGTCATGAGACTGAAGACCAAAGACAAGTCTATGTAGAACTAAAAATCTACCACACAATCTCTCATTATGTTTTTCTCTATCTTTTGTATTGTATATGGTACATTAGTGCTCTTTTTAATGGTACACAATTAAAAGAGATGTTCAACAATCAGTAACCTCCTGTTGAGACATCATTTACATTGTTAACAGTTGTGTTTATTTTCCCAATAAAATGAATGAACAAAAAGACAGTAGTCAACAGCTGAAGTGGATCAAAAGTTGTCCTAAGACAAGAACGGGTATTGTTCAAAATTCATGTATAACTTTGATGAAAGGTTTTGGTCCACTTCAAATGTTGACTACTGTATATATATATATATTAAGCGGTTTTCTTAATGTCAAAAAGCTTAAGATGCAGAATGTTACTGTAGAAATTTTTCACAACTTGAAAGAAACATTAGTTTTCAAGAGTTAAAAAATAAAATACACTGTATTTGCCAAAAAAATATTTAGATCTGGCAATTGATGACGGGATGAATAAAACAAAAAGTGAAAAACTTTTATGATTTTAGGCATTTTTTTTTTTTTTTTTTTTTTTTTTTTTTTACAATTTATAGTATTTTTGAGTACAATTTGAGTATTTGTACCACACGTCAAGAAGGTGGTAACATCCATAAGTAACATCACATCTGGCCAATCAGAATGAGAGCTGAGCTAGCGCGCTTCCGTCTGGTCTCCACCTAGGACTTTTAATTTGAAAATTGGATTTTGTGGTGTTTCTAAAGAAAAAATCACTGAAATTATAAAATGACATTGGATCAAACTATATTAATATGATCGATATACGATGCATAACATAATTATATCCAAACAATTCGTTTTGTACGGTTCAATTAATTTTTCTTTTAGACCACCTCCTGTCACATGATGTAGGTCGCGAATGACTTCACGCTCTGTCATGGCTGCACGAGACATAAACATGCCAGTGGTGCTGTAATTCAGAGCATTAAACCAGTGCGATGATTAAAACAGCGGCCATAACAAATCATTTTGACTTGAGCTTCGCCCTATGAAATCGGTTGGTCCGTGTTTGAGCGGCAGGTGAAGTGTTTGCTGTCTTGTAGATCATAGGAAGTATCCAATCATGCAGACTGAAGCCGTGCTGGAGCATCACAGCAGCTCACAGAGTTCCCTCAGGACGGGCTCCAAATCCTGGCAGTACAGGTACTTCACACAAATATTCCCATTTTAGAACAATCTATGTTTAATTATCGAAATCAAATAGCGAAGAATACCTTTTATGTGAGGACTGAGGAGGAGATTGTATAATAGTCAATTTCCGGAGTAAGCTGGACTTTAAACACGACATTGACATATTTCTGTCATGGTCTACTGTATGTCGTTCCATCTATATGACTTACTTTTTTTTTTACCATGCTTCACAAAAGGACAGCCTCAGTCTCCTTTCACTTTCATTATATACTTATAGACGATAGACCATCATTTGGAGTAGTTATGTGGCTATTATTCTTCAAACATCCTGTGAATGGTTTTTGTTTGCACTTTACAGCTTTATGGTTGATATTTGGTGATATGATCTTTTGGTAATAGTATGCATATCTGGTACACACTAGTGCTTTTACAACATTGAGTTTAATGAATTTTCTTTTTATTAACTGAAGTGATCTGATGGAAAAGGTGGATGGGTATTTGATGAAGTATACCAATCTTGTGACTGGATGGCAGTATCGGTGAGTCTGATGTATTCATTTTTTATAAACAGGCCAAAATGGAATCTGTGTAGATTTAGTGTAAAAAAAAATCTTCGGAATTCTGCAGGTAAAATGTAATGGCCACAATATTTAATGAACAAACATATAATCAATGATGAATGATTAGACCTTTATAATTAAAGGTTTGGACCTGAGAGTGCATATTTCATCCATGGTTATCATATTTAGATAAAACTAAAACCATTAAAAATATATTTTTTAATTTGTTTACTAATATAACTACAAATAAATATTAAAACCTTCAGTATATAGACAAAAAAACGTAATAAAAATGACTAAAACTATATATAGAACGAGATACTACAGTTATATCTTGAAATTGTTTTTATTCTTATATTTTCCATTTTCATCTTAATTTTAGTTAAAATTAAGATGAAAATGGAAAATATAAGAATAAAAACAATTTGAAGATATTAATAAAACTATAGTATCTCGTTGATACTAATGTAACACTGATTCCATGTGGGCGTGCTTATATGCTCAGAGCCTCTTCTTTTTAATCAACAAGGGTGCAACCTTCTCAGTTTTCTCTAAAGCTGTTATTTTTTTACTCACTATAGATATTTTGTGCTCAACAATGAGGCTGGGCTGCTGGAATACTTTGTAAATGAGCAGTCCAGGAATCAGAAGCCCCGGGGCTCGCTACCGTTAGCCGGTGCAGTGATTTCCCCCAGCGATGAAGATTCACACACCTTCACTGTCAACGCCATCAGCGGAGAGCAATACAAACTCAGAGGTTGTCACATGATCTCTTTCACTCTTTTTCTACTTTTTTAAAATCCCAGATGTTTAAACACTTCCATTTATATACTGTATATTCTCATCGAAATGAATGGCTTAGTATAAATAAAACAGCCCTAGATAGTGCTCTCTTAATCATACCACAAGTTTTTTTGTAAAAATTATCCTTATACTAGCATGCATCTCTGGCCTGATCTGAAATAATATGATCCCAATCAAGGCTTTACATTAACTTTTTTGCTCACCAGCAACTGTGGCTTGTGGTTTCCAAAGTTATTGGCTACTCAGCATTTTCACTGGCTACAATTTTGACACAGACACCATGGAGAAAATCTAGATATTTTTGATATTATCTCATAATTTAGCAGCAGGTATATTAGGCTGCTGTCACTTTAGGACCTGGCGCACTGATCCATGATGCTGATACACATTTGTTTTCTTTCTCAACTATTTACGTTCATTTAAAACATAACTGACTGTGTTTATGTGAATAGTTGCCAAGACCTGCATTTTGACATTATTTTGTGTTTATTTGATTAAGCGCAATAAGCAGCGAAAAAGAACTTAATTTAGTACTGAGAGGTGGCTTTATGTGCCCGCACTTTGGCTGTGAGCTAGCCTGGGAAAACCCAGACAACTTCTGGCAAATTTAGATTTCCTCTGAAAGTTAGTCTGGCAAAGAGCTCATTCAAGCCCATTTCCAATCCGTCGAAATCGAGGCACCAATCAGAAACGTTGGGGCGGTTGTCGCTCGGATTTTGAAGCAGATTTTGTAGCCTACATTACAAAGATGGATGCCGCCGGCGAACATCACTCGTTCGAATCAGCTATCGCGTCTGTTTTAAGCGATTTGACCGTTTCATTTTTGTTAAAAACCGAGCAAAGAACATCACTGACAACACTCTGAGATGTTTCTTGCATACGTCATCTCCTTCATCACTCTGATTGGGTTTAGGTCTATCCGCGACGTCCGTTGGTGACGCCCCTCTGGAAATGATTTGTCTATGACGCTTTGCCAGACCATAACTCAGTTACAACTGAGAATGGTCTGGTTTTAACCAGGCTAGCTGTGAGCACAAAATCTGCGGGAATTGGTAAAATTATGCGCAATATGCACAATCTCATGCTAAAATTCAAGCCCTGTAAAATCAACAATATTCATTCAGAGCAAATGAAATGAGTGAGTGAGGGGAGGTGGGTTTGTGTGTCAACTCACTGTTGGACAGATGAGAGAGCGAGAAAGCGCAGCTGGTATCGTCTACTGTATCTATTCTGTGGAAAATTAGTATTGGATGTGTTTCAGATATTTCAGTATCGATATACATGTATCTTAAAATCTATATTTTTTACAACACTACATTGCACTTAGTTTATTATTTCAGATGCCTTTTTAAAAGACTACAATTGAAAAATGTATATATTATATATAAAATTCATCCCGCCAAAGTGGCTAGTAAGAGTGACTTACCACGCCACTGCTGAAATCCACCCGCATTTGGTGGGTGTTGTCAAGCCCTGATCCCAATAATTTATTTTATGTTAAAAATCTTTTTAATACCTGTCTGTGTAACTTCAGCCTCAGATGCAAAGGAGCGTCAGCACTGGGTCAGCCGACTGCAGATCTGTGCGCAGCACCACACGGAGGCGATGGGCAAGGTGAGACAGTACAACCAGACACCTGTAATACTGTAAAACCACCACTGCTCAGTGATTTCCTAAGTTACAGGAACAGACAGAAAATCTGTTTAATGACAATGCTGCAAAAACTGTAAGATTCTGTCATCATTTATTTATCATCATGTTGTTTGAAACCAATAAACTATCCCAACTTTCTTTTGAGAACCAAAAACCAACCATTATTGACATTAAGTCTGGTATGATGTGAAAACCCTCCTATATATACATGTCAGGCAAACATATTTTATTGGATTGTAATTTCTGCTCCTCTGAGCGATTCGTTTTATTCTCTTCGTATCCTTGAAATAGTTTTTAATTGTCACGTCAAATTTCACAATGGACATTGTTTAAAAGCAGCTGTACAGAAAACCATCATGTTAATGTATATAATATCTTAATATCTTTATGCCTTGTAGTTGTATTTAGCATATTGGAGCTGAGCGATAATGTAGTCTACATTTTGCAACAATACAAGCAATCAAGCTGTGGAGATATTCTATATAGTATATATCACCCTACGCAAGTATTCTGTATTTATGCATATAAAGTAGGACATTCTTATATATACAACTTTATATAAAGAGCTGGGTAATAATATAATTACATTTTGCATTGATATAAACAAGCAGTTATACAGTATAGGATATGATATAGTAATATATAGTATAATATAGTATATTTTGCTTTACATGAGTGTACTGTATGTACATTATGCATATAAAGTTAGATGTAATATATACACTCACCGGCCACTTTATTAGGTACACCTGTCCAACTGCTCGTTAACACTTAATTTCTAAGCAGCCAATCACATGGCGGCAACTCAGTGCATTTAGGCATGTAGACATGGTCAAGACAATCTCCTGCAGTTCAAACCGAGCATCAGTATGGGGAAGAAAGTTGATTTGAGTGACTTTGAACGTGGCATGATTGTTGGTGCCAGAAGGGCTGGTCTGAGTATTTCAGAAACTGCTAATCTACTGGGATTTTCACGCACAACCATCTCTAGGGTTTACAGAGAATGGTCCGAAAAAGAAAAAACATCCAGTGAGCGGCAGTTCTGTGGGCGGAAATGCCTTGTTGATGCCAGAGGTCAGAGGAGAATGGCCAGACTGGTTCGAGCTGATAGAAGGGCAACAGTGACTGAAATAACCACTCGTTACAACCGAGGTATGCAGCAAAGCATTTGTGAAGCCACAACACGCACAACCTTGAGGCGGATGGGCTACAACAGCAGAAGACTCCACCGGGTACCACTCATCTCCACTACAAATAGGAACAAGAGGCTACAATTTGCAAGAGCTCACCAAAATTGAACAGTTGAAGACTGGAAAAATGTTGCCTGGTCTGATGAGTCTCGATTTCTGTTGAGACATTCAGATGTTAGAGTCAGAATTTGGCGTAAACAGAATGAGAACATGGAACCATCATGCCTTGTTACCACTGTGCAGGCTGGTGGTGGTGGTGTAATGGTGTGGGGGATGTTTTCCTGGCACACTTTAGGCCCCTTAGTGCCAATTGGGCATCGTTTAAATGCCACGGCCTACCTGAGCATTGTTTCTGACCATGTCCATCCCTTTATGGCCACCATGTACCCATCCTCTGATGGCTACTTCCACCATGTCACAAAGCTCTAATCATTTCAAATTGGTTTCTTGAACATGACAATGAGTTCACTGTACTAAAATGGCCTCCACAGTCACCAGATCTCAACCCAATAGAGCATCTTTGGGATGTGGTGGAACGGGAGATTCGCATCATGGATGTGCAGCCGACAAATCTGCGGCAACTGTGTGATGCCATCATGTCAATATGGACCAAACTCCCTGAGGAATGCTTCCAGCACCTTGTTGAATCTATGCCACGAAGAATTGAGGCAGTTCTGAAGGCAAAAGGGGGTCCAACCCGTTACTAGCATGGGGTACCTAATAAAGTGGCCGGTGAGTGTATATATATATATATATAGTGCGGTCAGAAATCTTGGAGTAATCTTTGATGATCAGCTGACCTTCACAGACCACATTACAAAGACAGCTCGATCATGCAGGTTTGCTATGCACAACATCAGGAAGATCAGGCCTTTCCTAACTGAGCATGCAACACAACTTCTCGTCCAGGCCCTGGTCATTTCTAGGCTTGATTACTGCAATGCTCTTCTGGCTGGACTTCCATCATGTGCAACTAAACCTCTACAAATGATCCAGAATGCTGCAGCTCGTCTGGTCTTCAACGAGCCCAAAAGGGCCCACGTCACTCCTCTGTTCATCTCTCTGCACTGGCTACCACTCGCTGCTCGCATCAAGTTCAAGGCTTTGACGCTTGCTTACATATTGACCACAGGTTCAGCTCCCTCCTACTTCCACTCACTACTACAAGTCTACATCCCTACCAGAAGCCTACGATCGGTCTATGAGCGACGGCTCGTGGTACCATCACAGCGGGGCACAAAATCACTCTCCAGAACATTCTCATTCACGGTTCCATGCTGGTGGAATGACCTCTTCACGATGACTCGCTTGGTTTAGTCCTCAGTTGTAAGTCGCTTTGGATAAAAGCGTCTGCTAAATGACTAAATGTAAATGTAAATGTAAATATATACACAGAGAGAGAGAGAGCTGTGCAATAAAACAGTTATACAATGATATAAACAATCTCGCAGCCGAGATTTGCTAGTGTGTATATATATATATTTCTTTACGTGAGTATACTGTATGTATGCAGGTAAAGTAGGATATACTTTATATCCAACTTTTAATATATCTCTGGATTATAATATAGTTTACATTTTTTCGACGATATAACAATCAAGCTAATCAAGTTAATCCAAATTTTGTTTTATAATTTTTAGGAAAAATGCGTCTAAAATATTTTTAGTATCTATTTAAAATTTTGCTAACTCAAATATAGTTTTCACTATGATGATAACCTAAGAAGCTGACATGACAATAACAAACTAACAAACAAACTGGAATGATGTGACTTTGCGCTGCATATTTGACTATATGTGACTGCGAATTAGATGTAGCTGAGGGAAAGATAATCAGTGAATAATGACTTATATTTAGGATCTGTTAATCACATAAAACCTCAGAAGACTTTTAATATAGCGTACAAATCATAAGGAGCATTTTTGTCCTTTGTGGGGCTTCGCAGTAAAACTCATCACCAGTTTTCTAGCATTTTGTAAAATAACAGAATTGGATCAAAATGTGGTAAATGATGATAAAATTGTCATTTATGTGTAAAACTAATCCTTTTTAGCAATTATCCTTAATCCCACAGACAAACCCACCGCTTCAATCTCGCAGTCTCTCCATGGCGTCTCAGGGCAGTGGCAGCTCTCCAGGATCTCAACACAGGATCAACCAGAACTCAAACGTCCTGTTGGGCCTGTCCCAGCTGCAGCACGGCTCCTCCCTTTACTCCAGCAGGAAATCACTGCTGCCTGATCACTTGCTGGAGGCCAGAGAGGTAAGAATGAGTGATGCTTTTAGAGGCCCAGTGGCACAGTCAATTAGTAACTTTAAAAACATCGGATCTGAACTTTTGAGGTGTTAACCGAATGTTTTTGTCCTGCTCCAGATGATGAGCCAGGCGCAGGGCCAGCACAGAGACCTGATCCAAAGTATTGAGGGTCTGCCCTCCTCCCAGGGTCCCTCTCCCTTGGACCAAGACCTGCTGCTGCTGAAAGCCACCTCTTTGGCCACTATGACCTGCCTCAGCGACTGCTTGCATATCCTGCAGCTCCAACAAGTGGCTCGACAGAAAGTTCCTCTCGTTGGTGAGATTTAAAAAAAAAAATGTTTTTGGGGGATTATGGCTAATTGCTGAAAGGATTAGTTTACACATAAATGACAATTTTATCATTCTCATTTTGAAGAACTGATATTGATTCTTAAATCCTAAGAATAATATAAATAAAATAAAATAAATTCCATTTTGGCGCTCTTTAATGTGACGTGACGGAGCGCACATGAACTGATCATCTGTTCCACTTTACTACTAGTTACAGCACGAAATAAACATGAATGAACATCAGAAGGTATGCTAAAAGGTACAGTACAACTTACCGAAATCCATATCATGTCTCGTAATAGTTCGATGAGTGTTTCAACCGGGGAAATATGTCAGTAAAACAGCTTGTAAACACTGTCACATAATGTTAGATTTACCTCAGAAAAGCCATTCAAAACTAGCTTGAAAAATTAACTCTATAGAGGAGCATTTTGATAAATATGTACACTATATTTCATATTGTATGTTCTTCAATATTTAATGTATTTTTGAAGGTTTTTATGACAGCCACCATTTAAATGTTTATATATATATACATATATATATTTTAATTAGTAGAAACATTAAAAATGTATTATTATAAAAAACTTTCTTATGGGCAATTTAAATGTAAGTAGCCTACAAATCAGTTAATTTGAACCTTTAATATTATTGTAATGTACAATCTGGGGTTCCATTTATAGTTTACAGCATTAGTTTTGTACTAGCCTATTGGTAATTGATAATGTAAAAACTAAGTTATGAGTGAATGGACAGAAGGATACAAAATGATAAAAATGTGTAAAATAGGTACATAATGCTTGACATCTGGCTCTGTCTGGCTTTTTGCCTCTGTCAGGCTCTTTTAATCTTAGACCTGACTTTACTCTATACTTTGTCTAATGCTACTGCAGTGCTTAGATGTTAAGTGAAAGCATTTCTCTTCCAGTAAAAGACAGTAAGAGGGTTATTTATAAGCACAGCTTCCATCACAGGAATTCTTCTTGACTTGTGCTGATCCTATGCGTCTTTTGTATTCCTATCTGATTTTCTTGACAAGATTATACCACTAAATTGGCAGCATATCCTACTTTTATTTAGATTTTTTTATTGAGTTCTAGTTTTGTTAAGTTAGCAAGTGTATGCAGAACTCAGTCAGAAACCGTACGAGGTTTAGTATATTTTCCCATGTTTACTCTTATCGTTAGTTCTTTTGGCATTTAGGAATAATAGTACTGTATCTATTCTGCTTCCTTATTACTTAACATTGACTTAGCGCAATTTCTTAATATCAAATAAGCATGATATGTTTTTTTTTAATGGCCGATATTGCTATCTAGAGAGCAGAGTGGCCGATATAATACGATATTGTACAATTTAATAATAACAAATAAAAATTGTACAGAAAATGTGCAGTGTCACTTTGCAATACTGTTGGTAGATTTTGCCACTGCCCACTTTTGTTTATCTGCCAATCGGGCACAGATATTTGACAATAATCTTAAAAGAGCCAAATATTCACTGATTAATTGTCCTGGGCTGCATTGCCCAAAAATATTATAAGCCTAAGTAGATCGTAGAGATCATTGACGCCAATCATTTTTACAATCTGACCAGGCTTACGATGCTTTTGGGAAATGCAGCACTGGCTGATTTAACAGTCTGTCATTAGTCATGTTTTCAAATTCATCTATTTGGCACGTCATGATTTATGTTAAAAGGAGCAAGTACAGCTTCCTTTTTTGTTGAATACTTATACTCTCCTGGTGTAGAGTTTGTGTAACACTCCTATATTGGCTGTCGAAATGCAATCCAAAGATGAATAATGTAAACTTTTAGATAACCACAAATACTCTCCTTCTCCAAATCCGCTATCAGACAGTTATTGAATACCTTAAATCACATATTGACTGCGACTCACTGATCCTTATGTGTAATCCAGGTCAATGCGATAAGATCAAAATACACTACAGCACAAGTCTTTCTGCTCACATCACAGTGTCGTGTGTGTGTACCAAAAATAACCAATAGCTGAACAGCAAAAAAGGTAGTTCATTTTCCATTATATAGTACAGAAAAACCGCAAGTGTTTGTGGTCACAAATCCAATAATCTCAGGTCATGTTTGTGTCTGTAGAATTTATGACCTAGAGCCCTGCTCAGCGAGTGGAATATTGTTTTATAATTAATGAGGAACTGTATCCACCACTGATAGACTTCTGCAGGTAACTAGAGCTCTGCTGGCGTCACTCAAGCACAGCGGTTGACAGACTTACCAAATTGTGTTACCATACTGTTGTCAGTTCTTGGATAAATATTTCTCCTGTGAGATTTGCGTGTTTGGGGGTTCCTCTTGGACGAACATTTATTTTGCCAAACCGAAGACTTCTAGTTGTGTGCTTGACTTTAATGCAACCCATTCATGAAGCATACATATTTTATTACTCTCTGACTAGAAAGAAACATGTAGACATCACACACTTCCAGTATCACCTGCATTTCCACTGTTGTTGAAGTAGTGAGGGACCATGTGAACTTTCAGAACTTCCTAATGACTGGAACAAAGCAAAAACCACCAGATTAGTCTCCGTGCCAATAGGCAAACAAGTCAACAATGGGCAGGGCCTCATGCAGACGGTGAGACCCTGTTCTCAGGTTTCCACTGAGAGCTCTGTGTCAGTTGTCAGAGCGCTATACGCCCAGAAATCCTGTGGCGTTAGAGGCTGCTGTTGGCCTGTCGGCATCGTGCTGGTGGGCCGGTGATATGAGCACCCCTAAGACTGGTTTTGTGTGCCCTGTAGGCCCTGCCCTCGAGTGGCTGGAGCCAAAACTGCCCGACATCCTGAAGAATGGAGGGACGCTACCCAGCATCACCAAAGATGATGGTAACACAGTGGGAACCGTTCTAGAACCTTTAGAAATGGACTCCTGTGATATCGCTGGGGTAAGATTTGCTTTATCTAAACTTTCTTGCTGACTGTTAACGGTCAATAATTTAATAAATGGGTCTGAATGATTAATTAGCACACATTTTTGAAAACCCTCATTGATTGATCACACTTGACTTGTTTCGATGTAACTTATTTGAAAAAATAAGTTTAAAAAGTATGGGATCTAAAGTGGTTGTCCAAATTAAGAGTAGAAAATTGATTTCAGTGGATCTGAGCTTGTTTTAGATTACACACATTTCAGAATGGCTGTTTTGGATTGGTCTGGTCAAATAGTCTATTCACAAAAACGAGTTTGTTCACTTAAATTGGACTTAAGTATGTATGAGTATCATTGTGTTAGATAACAAAATATCAAACCATGTGGTATCTGCAAACAAATAATGCTTTTCTCAGAACTAACAAGGCTTTTCTGATTTATTTTCGTGGTTAAATTACGTTTCAAACAACAGGTGTCCTACAATAGCAGTGTAATCACTAGTATAGTGCCTTGAACTCACACCATTGGTTGAGCCAGTGCTGTTATTTCGGGCTGCAGCAGTGTTTTGGTAGCACCACAGAGACACTGTTTACACTTTACTACAAAAGTCACAGCAAAAACTTGCCACATTGTTACAAAAAAAATCAGTTTCAAATAAATGCTGTTCATTTGAACTTTCTATTCATCAAAGAATACCAAAAAAATTAACAGCTTCCACAAAAAAATTAAGCAACAGATCTTTGTGCAACATTAATAATAAGAAGAAATGATTCTTGAGCAAATCAGCATATTAGAATGATTTCTGAATGATCATGTGACCCTGAAGACTCGAGTAATGCTGAAAATTTAGCTTTGCCATCACAGGAATAAATTGCATTATAATAAATAAATAAATAAATACATTTTATAATTTTTAAAATTGTAATTATATTTCACAGAAATACTGTTTTTACCGTATTTTTTATCTAATAAATGCAGCCTTGGTAAGCATAAGAGACTTCTTTCAAAAACTTTTGAACAGTATATATTAGTGTTTTAACAATGTAAGAATTGCATGCTCCAGCTTTATCTATGGACATTTTCCACTAACATTTCATAACCAGAAACTGTATGAATTTGAAAATGATTTGTCTTAATTTTAAACAGTATATTTATTTTTTAATCATTTTAAAACCTTTTTGTGAATTGTTTTAAAAAGTGTGCTATCTTTGTTTTATAATAAAAAATTACACTTGGTTTGATATTCTGTTATATAATGCATATATGATATATAAAATGAATTCATGCATTTTGACATTCACAAAAGTATGTCTTAATTTTCCAAATGTATCTTGAGGCCTCTGTATGTTATTACAGCAACACAATTGTGCATGATTGTATTCATAGCAGATGCTGATGATAATTACTGACAACTGATATTGTTTTGGAGAAGGCTCTCTGACTTTGAGTCTCAAGAGTAATCTTTGCTTCAGTTGCCTTGATGTAAACAAACACCTGAGCCTCCCTGATTGTCGAACTGTAGACAGGGCTCCCTATTAACCTGAGTAAATTTGTCTGCAGTGTTAAATGTTACCTATGCTGTATGTTTTTTTTCTTCTTCTAAATACTCTTGCATAATATTTTGCTTCACTTAACTGTACCCTAGCATCCACTGTTTCAAGCAGCATAGCAGATAGAAAAACAATCATCATATACCCCATAAAAAAAAAAAAAATTCTACATTATGTAATGTAATTATTTGACAAGTGTCATTAGTGGTATTTGCTGAGGCAAGCAGAACCTATTACATACATAGGGTTTGGATTTAAACAAACCAAAACGTAACTTGCCCACATGTACAAATGATGCCTCAGATTGTGAAGCTTGTTGGGATAGCTGTGCTCTTACTTATTTTAGTGATCAATTTTATGAATTTCATGGTAAAATGGGAAATAAATCAGAGAATTACATCCAAGGAAGGACTCGAGCCATATCTTGGGGACAGAATATCATAGAGTAAAAGTTCATGCAATACTTGGTAATACCTTGCAATTTTAAATGTATGATTTCCAACAATGGCAAAGTTATAAAAGCCATTAAAATCTTAGAAATTATGTTCATTTCTATATTTTTAAATCTCTAAAAGATTTAATCAGCCAAAAATTGCACACTGTGAAATGTTGATTTAAAAAATGTGTATATATTATTTTAGTCTAATTTATATACAATTATAGTATTTATTGGTATTTTTAAATATCTTTTATATTTTCAGTTTTCATTTTAATTTAAGTTTTAGATAATTAAGATAATTCATTTTAGATAATTAATTAAGCCTCTACCTCTATAAAATGTAAAACGAAAAAGCATCCTGTAGTTTTGGTCAAAAGGTGTGGAAACCCTGTAGAGGGGGTCCCAAAAACTAGTTCTGTCCTTGCAGTATTTTATTGGTTGAGTAGATGAGTTGAGTAATCATGGAGTTTGGTGTGTGTTTCAGGAGCAGGAGGAGATTGATGCCACGCAGGAGGTAGACGACTCCTCTCCAGTCGAGGAGGAGGATCTGGGTGCTGTCGAAGAGGAGCGCAGCGTCATTCTGCACCTCCTCTCTCAGCTGAAACTGGGCATGGACCTCACCAGGGTATATCAGCTCCATCTCGTTAATGGCTTCTTGTGTCTTTCTCAAACATCAGATAAAAGTTTAAATCATGCCATTTTAAATTAATTCTGTTATACAATTAAAATAAGATTGTGAAATAACAGTGTTTCACATGGGTGTATAGGTGGTCCTGCCCACTTTTATACTGGAGAAGCGCTCCCTGCTGGAAATGTATGCAGACTTCATGTCCCATCCGGACCTTTTCGTGGCCATCACCGATGGCTCCAGCCAGATGGACCGCATGGTCCGATTTGTGGAGTATTACCTCACTTCCTTCCATGAAGGGCGCAAAGGTGCCATTGCCAAGAAGCCCTACAACCCCATCATCGGAGAGACCTTCCACTGCTCTTGGAGAGTACCCAAAGCGACATCATCTCCGACAGGTGTCCCGAAAGAGGGGACCTCGTGCACGTCAGACTGCTACAATGTTCGCTTTGTGGCTGAACAGGTTTCCCATCATCCCCCTGTCTCGGGCTTCTATGCAGAATGCCAGGAGAGGCAGATGTGTGTCAACACTCATGTGTGGACCAAAAGCAAGTTCATGGGCATGTCCATTGGCGTCTCTATGATCGGAGAAGGTGCGTTTCGCCCGCCTCACACTCAGTTTACTATGAACGTTTCCATGGATCCATTGTTGATTATTAGGAATGTTAACTTCCTGTGCTCACAGGTAATCTACACCTATTAGAGCATGATGAAGAATACACCTTTAGTCTGCCCTCTGCTTATGCCCGCTCGATCCTCACTGTGCCCTGGGTGGAACTGGGAGGAAAGGTCAATGTCAACTGCACCAAGACAGGCTACTCTGCAGTCATCACCTTCCAGACAAAGCCTTTCTATGGGGGCAAGCTGCACAGGTCAGGATCACACTGGATCACATTACGTGACTCCATTTTCCATCTCTTTGAGACCGTATAGGGTTTTCAATGTAAATTTATACAGCAGACTGAGTAAATGGCTGCTGAAAATTCAGCTTGGCCATCACAGGTATACATTTTTTTTTTTTAAATGTATATATAAAAAACTTTATCCTGAATTGTAATGTTTCACAATATTTGTTACTGTATTTTTTGATCAAATAAATGCAGCCTCGGTGAGGATAAACTGTTGTGTAAATGTCCAGATTAAATATTGTCCAGACAAATTTTCTGAGCAAAACACTGTAACACTTAACAATAAGGTCTCATTTGTTAACATTAGTTAATGCAATAACTAACATTTAGCAATATATTTTTACAGCATTTATCAACCTTAATTAAAGTTAGGTAATAAAACATTCATCTTCATGTTAGTTCACAGTGCATTAACCAATGTTAACAGATACAACCTTTGTTCTTAAAAATGTACAAGTAAATGTTGAGATTAATATTAACTAGGATTAATTAATGCTGTAGATGTATTGTTAAATGTTAGTTCATGTTAACAAATGAAACCTTATTGTAAAGTGTTACCCAAAACACTACATTCAATAAGAAAAAATGTAGGGGAAACTTTAACCATCTGTAATGATTTTCCACCATCTCTTCACCCCGGGAATTAAACTGGCTGTTTTTTGGCCCTTTGCCATTAAAATTTCAATGAAAACGCCACATGAAGCACTGTTCTGAGCTTATATGGCCTGTTTTCACCTGAACACTTGATGTGTTTTTACTGATCGGATAGCTATCGACTTGTTAAAACGGTTCCATTTACACTTAATAAATGTCCCCGCAAAACGAATATAAATCTGATCTTCAATTCCCGCTCTATGTGCAAATTTAATGGCGTTCGCGTCAACGAAAGCGCCAGATATGAGCTGGATTTTATTTATCATCAGCTAATTTCAAGGTCAATAGGAGTAGGAGAGAGAGCGGCATCAGCATTGGTAAGATCATTTCACTACTTTTAATGAAGATGATTGAGCATATACGGCAGTTTGCACGCCGGCTTGCTGAAAAGATACTTAGCATCTGCAGCGATGCGTGTTGCGGTAGCTTAAGATGTAAAATTTACAAATGTGGTTTCAACAACCAGATGCATTTAAAATTGTCCTGTTTCGTTTGGAATGCGTCTCAAACCAGCTCCTGAAGCGGTTTGAGGGATCGGATTTAAATCCGATTAAATCCGTCTCGAAAGCATTTCGGAGGGCATTTTCACAATCGGATCTGATTGACCAGGTGTAAACAGCCCCATTGACAGGTTGTGAGTTTGCTATGGGGTCTTGTTAGAGAAATATTATTTCCTATGTGTCTTCAATCAATGCCACTGCTTATACATGATTAATTTTAAATGAGGTACAGAGACTTCCTTACATAACTTTCAATCATGAAAGATACATTTTGTTTTTGACCATATTTTTATTGTATGTACCGGTATGTATATATGTCAAAAACAAAACGTATCTTTCATGATTAAAAGTTATGTAAGGAAAGCTCTGTACCTTATGTAAAATTAACAAAATTATGTATAAGCAGTGACAATGATGGAATACACATAGTAAAATAATATTTCGCTAACAGTCCAATATAGTTTGCACTGCTCTATCACATTGTGACAGGTTCACAAAACAATCTTGCAAAGATCAGACAGAAATGATTATGGACCTTGTAATAAAATAGACGGAACAATATTTTCACGTGGGCCGTGTGAAGGACACCCTCTGATTCTATGCAAATGAAGCTGACAACTGCAACTGGCTGAAGAATTGGCTAGACGTCTGCCCTAGAATCAGTCAATGGTCTTTTTGGACAGTTGAGGAAATTGAGTTCTGCAAGTTACAGTTTTTTACAGTAGTACAATATCTTATTTTAGTCACAATGGAACTGAAGTAGCGACAGATCTTTACTCCAATACTGTGACGTACATCTGAGTGAAACGGATCATAGAAAAAAAGAATAAATGTAGGAAAGGGACTTGGTTCTATCCATCGGTTGGTGATTGGTATGAGTGCTTTAATCAGAAAGCCGAGCCAGTGGACTGTAACAGAAGCCTGTGCTTTGTTCCTCAGAGTGAACGCGGAGGTCAAACATAACCCCACCAACTCCGTGGTGTGCCGCGTGCAAGGCGAGTGGAACGGCGTGCTGGAGTTTTCCTACACCAGCGGAGAGACACGTGTCGTAGACGTCACCAATCTCCCCGTCACCAGAAAAAGAGTACGGCCCAATGAGCTGCAAGGACCCTACGAGTCCAGGTAACACCAGTTAATCAGTTTATGTAAACAGTTTATTATTGCATTCAAGCCACACAACAGTGTTGATGTCAATATGACATCAGGTTATTTTTATGAAAATGAGTAATCTAAAGGAATACTTTCAAAAATGATATTATGAAGGGCTGAGAAAGAAGGATAGATAGGTTTGAAATAAGAGTAAATGTAACAGAATTTTTTTTTTTGGATCAAATATTCATTTAAGGGAAAATTTTATAATTTTATCATGTCTTGCTATCTGTGGATTCAGACTGAAAAAGGTTTAATGTGGTGTGAGGGCTCCATCTTTAACCTGTGACTCTTCTCCCTGTAGGAGACTGTGGCAACATGTGACCGAGTCTCTGAAGGATAGGGATATGGAAAAAGCCACGGAACACAAGCGTTTCCTGGAGGAAAGACAGAGGAAAGAGGAGAGGCATCGTGCAGAGACACAGACAGCATGGAGGACCAAATACTTTGAGCGCAAAGTAAGAACACATCTGAATCTTATTTTTTAAAATCATATAATAATTTCTACATAAAATAGTAAATAAGTGTCGGCGGGTCCTTAAAAAGTCTTCAATGAAGTTTTCCTAATAAAAGGCCTTAAAAAGTATTAAAATGTCTTAAATTCAGATTCGATGGGCCTTAAATATTTTTTTGTCACATTACCGCTAAAATTCTCCAGCCTGACGTACCCTATGTCTGTTTACAATCATTGGACAGACCGAAGATTTTTTGGTAACGCTTCCTTTTACAGTACAGTACTTACGTGTACTTCCAGTGTACTTACCTAGAAAGTACTGGCTAATATAAGGTAAGTACATGGGTTAGGGGTAGGTTTTAGGGGTAGGTTCAGGGGTTAGTACCTAGTTATTACCCAGTAATTATAATTACTATAATAAGTACATAGTAAGTACATGGGTAACAGGACTGTAAAAGGAAGAGTTACCGATTTTTTTCCCATGGTAGTTACTGTGTCATCTGAGAGAACTGAGGTAGCAGAATACAGCTAGCTGGCCAGCCTCCTAGCTAGTTTAAAATCGGTAAATGTAAGTTTACTGAAAAACGATGAGTTCTCGTGGTGGTTGAAGCCTGTGCCTGGAAATGTGTATTAAGGGAAACTGCGCCGTTTGTCTGAGATGTTTTTAACTCTGTAGCGTGTAATGGGCATCATCACGGCGGTGGAATCACACACGCAGAGTGCAGGGCTCGACCTTAACGCTTGTCTGAGACAAGTGCATTATGCTGTTCTTTTGAACTTTGTATTTGTCAAAGAATACTGAGAAAATTGAACAACTGTTTCCACAAAAATATTAAGCAGCAAAACATTGAAACATTGGTCATCATCACGCTGAACAGGAAAACTCATCTAGTGAAGTCTGCTTTTACAGCCTCCTTGTGTTTATACTCATGCTTGTGTTTATACTCATGCTTTTGCAAACTCTTCTAACTCAAGATTTCCAACTGGTAGATCTTAAAGATCGAAAGAGATGTTGGAATCTTAGTGGTTGGTTTATAGCTTAACTTTAGCTTTTTACTTCTGCTGATTGTATTTTGGCTTCAAAACAGCTGTGTTCATTTGTGAAGATTATCTTGATGAACAATACTTGTAAGAATCATACACTTTTGTTGGTCAGAGTTTATTTTCCGCAATAATCCAAATGCTGGTAGAAGGTGTTTTTGTCGAGAGAACCACAGTTCTTCAATTCCCTTTTTTTTTCTCTTTCCAGGGTGAAAGCTGGGCGTATTACCAACCACTGTGGAAAACGGCAACTCATAGCTCTTCCCCGGTTCCCCCTCCTCAAAATCCATGACCTCTGACCTTTTAAGAGCTGAGTTCAGGCACTGTACAGTCTCCTGCTATAGTAAACCTCTGGCCCTGTGTTCCCTCTCTCACAGATGAAGACATACACTCTCCTTTGTATGATTCCTGAAACATAACTTCAATTTGAGTGTTTGTAACGCTTTGTGGACTTGCGGGTTTGCACTCTGATGTTCATATTTTGCATCCCTCGGTGGTAAGATTTTTGTAGAACTACACAGTGAATGATTTCTCCAAATCTGCACACTGATATTCTTTGTTGATGTTGCCTTAACAAGTGTCGTATGTAACGAGACCTGAGTACAGCCTGACGGTTCTTAATGTGGAATTGTGTTTGGGGTGAACTTCTTAATCTGACCATACTGTATTTGTACAGTCAAAGATTTCTGATTCTTTTAAAATCATATATAAATTATCATAATTTAAATATCAAATGAAATGCAGGATTAGGGGAGTTCAAAAGGACAGTTGCGTCAATAGCCGGCGAAGATGTGAGTTGTTATTGCTTAGCGGAGCCAGACGCAGCTAGAGTTTTGATGAGAGAGAAGCCGTTGGCTTGGCTTTTGTATTATGCTGTCTTTTTCTCGTTCTTGCTCTGGTAAATGAGGCTTGCAGGTGCTATACACAAAATCTGGGCCAGATTGAAGTGTTCAGGTAGAGGCCTGCTCTTCTGTTTCTGCTTGATGTTCATTGAACAGTTACGTTGGCTTCAGTTTCAGAGAGATTTTAAAGGGATAGTTCACCCCAAAATGTAAGTTTTGTCCTCATCTTCTCACCCTCATGTCATTTAAAATCTGTAAAGGTGATGATACACAGGGCAACCTTTTGAGCAATGTTGCTGGGCAATCTTGCTGGGCGATTGTTGCTTGGGTACTTTCCCATTGAAAATGTGCAATACATTTCTATCTGGATAATTTAGATCAGTCGTGGGCCCTGTGTCTCAGTCTCATCTGGTTGCCTGTTGACGGCAACATTGCCCAGCAACATTGCTCAAAAAGTTGCCCTGTGTATCATCACCTTAAGACTTTCTTTCTTTTGTGCAACACAAAGATATTTTAAAAATCCATACAATGAATGTCAATGGGGTCCAAGTACTTTGGACCCCAAAGTTCTTTAAAATATCTACTCTTATGTTCCGCAGGGAAAGGAAAAGTCATAAAGGTTTGGAACGACATTACTCACCCTGTTATATGTAGTCTAGATGACTTGTGCACTATATTACAAGTCTTCTGAAGTCATATGATCAGTTGTGAGATACTGACAGAAATTTAAGCTGTTTACTGATATCATTAAATATAATTTGCACTGTTAACCTAAACAGCTTAGATTTCGGTTGGCCCTGCTGAAAAAAAACCCCACCCAAAATCAGCCTGGTTTGCTGGTCTTAGTGTTTTTGTTTTTTTTAGCATTTTTCAGCTGGTCAGAGAGGAAGACCAGCTAAGACCGCTGAACTAGGTTCAGAAGAAGTTTTATAGAGCACTTTTATGGTGTTTTTCTATTTATGAGGTACAGTATAAGTCACAATTCACTTTTCTTGTATGGAAAAGAGAAGCTTGGACATTCTGTCTGAGTATTTCATGCAAAATCAGAAAATAATACAGGCATGACATGAGGATGAGTAAATGAAGCCAAAGTTTTCATTTTTGCAATCAGATGTGTTTATAGCATGTGTTCCTTGCAGAAGGTTCAGGTTTTAGTTAGCTGGTCATGATAGTAAGGTTTTTTTTGTTTTAATCATGTGGAATTTTGTGTTTAAACGCTTCATCGTTTGATCTGCCAGCTGAGGACAGTTGCAGTGATGGTGCTGGCTGAAGTGTTACGTCTCTCATATAATCTCTGCTTCAGCCCTGGCATTGGTTGCGCTGAGAAACTTGTGGTGCCTTATTTGTGTTAGTCTTCCTCTCGTTCCACATCACAGCCGTCAGCTTTCTCATCAAAACAGAGTAAGACGGAAGCCGCAGCCTTTGTATATAGGTATCTTCTGTAATTTTCCTGTCCACTAAAGACAGAATTCCCACAAAGTGTTTCGTTCATCAGCTGTGCTTTCCACTCAAGTCATTCTGCTGAGCCATCAACTGCACTGATGTTTTAAATACACTCCCTGTAGCCTCAGAACATATGATTGAAAAAAATAAAAGGGTTAATATATTGGAGGATTTCGGATTGTTTTTCATTTGATTTAATGTGTGTCCGTGTGGTATCAAGAGGAGATGCAAATATCTCACAATAACTCGCATATAAAGGAAGATCCATGGGTAGTTGAAATGTGACGTGACAAACGGATTTTGCTCATTTGATTATAGTTATTTATACAGGTATATGACCTAATTTTAATTAAGACATGGAATATTTTGTACTTCATAAATATAGATTTGTTTCACATTTCAGGACCAATTAAAATAATCAAGGGAAGGCAAATCTGGAGAAGCCCTTTCTGCCTTAGTGTAAAAAATAATAAAAAGGTAATTGTGACATTTCTCACAATTGTGACTTTATTTTTCATAATGTGAAAAATATCTCAATTGCAACTTCAAAATATCTTTTATACTTGTCAATGCAATCTTATTTCTCATAATTGCAACTATTTCTTGTGATTGCGACTTTATATCTAATTTTGACTCATGTCACAGTGTGACTTAATATCTCACAATGTGACTATTTAATATTTTACACTTTCTCACAATTACCATTTTTTCATAGGCAGAAACAGGTTTTCATACAAAACAGTGATTTACAAAAGGTGAAAAACAACTACTGCACCTAAAATATACAGTTTCCCTTTAATACTGTATTAATGTACACTACCATTAAAAAAACAATTATGCAATATGCAGCTTTGGAGAACATAAGATGTTATTTAATTCTTTTTTTTTAAAATATCTTTTGAACTGTAGTGTAAAAATGTAACCCAAAAAAGACTGGTTAAAAAGTCCATGGGCACGTTATGCATATACATTTTATGTAGTGATTACTGTACAGCTGTGAAGCCAGTTCACACAAGCAATGGGCAAAATGACTCAACACATCTCTGTTTGCTTCATCTTCAGTAATGGAAAAAGTATGACAGGTTGCCATATGTTCATGTTGACATTCTCACAGAAAGTATTTATCTCCATCAGTTCTTTTTCCAGTATGCAATCTGGTATGAATTTTCCCTGTCCTCAAAGTAGCTCTGTAGAATTTGGGTGAACCTCAGATTGCTTAAAAAAGTTTAGCTGGAGTGTAAATGCAGGCTGTTTAGAAACTAGACTAGTCCGTCTCATGCTTTTCTCTTTGTCTGAGACCCGAGCTCACTGACGTAACGAATCATTAGCTTATTGAATCCTGTTGACCATCAGAAGCGAGTCTGAGGAATCTTTTAAAAGTTAAAATTAGGATAAGCTAATTGATTATCATCAAAGTCTAGAATGAACAGCATGTTCCTGAACTTCTGAAGTAGGACATTGATAATCCCAGATAAAAAGCCTTGATGTAGTTGTCATTTAATTAAAGTAATCAGCTAAGTGGTTAAAAAAGGGTCAGTGCAAAGAAACTCATTCAGAGCAAAAGGAACATAAGGTAGCTCTTTTATGTCTAAAAACAGAAGTTCAATTGCTGGTGTATCGTCTTTTTGAGTCGTAATTTCAGCTGCAGGTCTGCGGTAATCAAATTGAAGTCCCCCAAAACCGAGTTTATGGGAAGATCACGTGGACTTCATAAGTGAGTGAGTCAGAAAGAGCAATGGAAAATTTTAAATCAGAAAATGATGTGTGGTAAACATTTTTGGGAAAACATTTTAGGAAGAATGGCGCACTTTTTTCAACTCTCTGCCACGTACCCTCAGCTTCTCTCCACCTGCAATAGCTTTATTTTTATTTATTTTTTTGTAGTTGCTTTATGGCACAAAGCAGCTTTGAGAAATTTTCATTTCGCCTTCATCCTTTACAACATTATACAAGAAAATAATGATATTTTAGAACGGAAACCCTCTTTTGTCCGTCGGTTTAGATTAGTGTTTAAAGAAAAACGGAGACCAGCTCCACATAGTGAATCAATATGCATTACAAGAATAAGTCTGATTTTTCCAGGCAGGTCACATTTGACTCGGTTGCCTGGAGGAAACGGAGATCTGCGTGTCAGCTGTAACATGCGGACAGATGCCAGTGCTGTGGTCCGTGCAGGGAGGAAGGGAGGGGAGGGATGGGGCTTGGTCTTCTGTAGGTGGCGTTATGGGTGTGTGTGTGCAGATGGAGTTCTCCAGCTCTTCCTGAGCCAGAGTGTTAAAGCGCTCCACCACGCAGTGTGCCGTCAGACGAGCCTCCGGGTCTTGATCCCAGCACTCTGTTATAGTCGCACACAAGAGCTGCATGCCCTAAAACACCAGACAGAAATGTGCGATTACGAATAGAAATGTCGGTAACATCATCTAAGACGCCTGTATATAGCCTACTACATCTAATTTTAATTTGCCAATTTATTGTTGAATTTTTATGCTGATTGTTTTTTAATGTATTGCAAATATAATGTGGTTTGTTCTCGCTCTCTCACTATATATTAAATACATACATGCATACATTTGTATATGTGTATATATATATGTGTGTTTATGTGTGTATATATATATATATATATATACACACACACACACACACACACTAATATATTAATGCAAGAACAGAATATATACATATATAAATTAAAAATATTAAAAACATTTTAGTATTTTAAATGTGTGCATCTATCATACATGTATATTAACATTTTTGCATTTTATAATGAATTGTATAGCATTATGTATATTTTTCACAATATATTTGATGTACATAGATTTTTATCAGTTTTATCAACATCCAGTTATAATTGTGTACCCACTGTATGTGTCGTCCAGCTCGCTGGAATATCTGGTCGTCCTCTGTCTCTTAACACCAGGTCTCTCATGCTGTCTACACAAGGTTGCTCACACACCTTGGAGCCAAATGGGGGTTCGTAACTCTTTACCTCTGTTGAAAAGAAAACAAATGTACTTTAATTCTTATAGTATGCTTTTAACCTCAAGGAAATATCCATGGAGAGCTTTACTTGCCTCCTATGACGTCACACCTAGAGACCATTTCCCACAGCACCAGGGCCATGGAGTAGATATCAATCTGTTTGAAGGACTCCAAGTCCTCTAGATTCACCCTGGACTCCAGAACTTCAGGGGCCATATAGCGTGCCGTCCCCACCTACAGGACATGGACCATGTGATTTAAATTGGACAACTTCGCCAAATTGAATTACCAATGGTTTCATGCGATTACATCTGAGACCTTAACAAATCAACCACTGTGCTTTTAGGTTACGCTTAAATAGCTTGAAGAAATGATCACCATGCCCACAGCAATTCTGCCTACTCAGATGATGATACATTCAGAAATGATTCAGCTGGAAGGGATGTTTGTGTGTGTACAACATTTGAAGACCGTGACTATTTCGATAACTAG